AAGGTCGAGGAGGATAGGCCACAGGTCCCACAGTCCCAACTAAATCCAATTGTGGCGGTCTGCCGTCTCAACAGCCCACTGCCTGTGAAAGACTATAAAATGCGCTGGTTGAAAAGCAAGTTAAAATACTGGGTGCAAATGAACTATTTTATTAAAAAAAATTAATGTCAATAATTCCTTCTTCCTGACAAGTTGTCAAAAATCCAACTAAAATCATACAAGCATAATACAGGGTATAGACAAAAATTTTAAACATTATAAATGAAATAAATAAATTAACACTAATCTAATCTAATGTATATGGAAGTAAATGTTGGATAATGAATAAAAAGAAGATGGGCGATAAGAGATGGTGCGAAAAGATAAAGAGGACGTCCTCGAAGAAAGTGGACGCATGTAAAGATGACTTAATAATAGCGAACTAGCCATTAACAAAAATGAATAAAAAAAAAATAATTGAAAAAATTCCAAATCATGGGCTTATATATTTACTAGATATTTTCCGCAGTTTTGCACGCGTGGTGTCGTGTTTATAATATAATCAAATACACGACTTTCCAAAAAAAAAGGCGGTACAATTTTTAGAGTCCATGATATGTACGTGATAGTATTTAGATAAAAGTTAAGTAGATTATTCTAATATATAAGTATAATAATCTAATTAAGAATATCTTTGAACACCAAATTTCTGGTACGGTTTTATATGCTAATATCACCTGATTGCATTCAAACTTACACTTAACACGTTACATAAAACTATCATTGAAAAAAGCATTTCTCCCTTAGCCTGTCGGGGTGTCGAGACATCAAAATATGTCGTTTTTCCAATTCACTCATATTTTTCATACCCGTGCGTAGGAAGTTCCACTTAATTGTTTTTAATTATTTTTATTTATTTTTATTTATTTTTATTTATTTTTATTTATTTTTATTTATTTTTATTTATTTTTATTTATTTTTATTTATTTTTATTTATTTTTATTTATTTTTATTTATTTTTATTTATTTTTATTTATTTTTATTTATTTTTATTTATTTTTATTTATTTTTATTTATTTTTATTTATTTTTATTTATTTTTATTTATTTTTATTTATTTTTATTTATTTTTATTTATTTTTATTTATTTTTATTTATTTTTATTTATTTTTATTTATTTTTATTTATTTTTATTTATTTTTATTTATTTTTATTTATTTTTATTTATTTTTATTTATTTTTATTTATTTTTATTTATTTTTATTTATTTTTATTTATTTTTATTTATTTTTATTTATTTTTATTTATTTTTATTTATTTTTATTTATTTTTATTTATTTTTATTTATTTTTATTTATTTTTATTTATTTTTATTTATTTTTATTTATTTTTATTTATTTTTATTTATTTTTATTTATTTTTATTTATTTTTATTTATTTTTATTTATTTTTATTTATTTTTATTTATTTTTATTTATTTTTATTTATTTTTATTTATTTTTATTTATTTTTATTTATTTTTATTTATTTTTATTTATTTTTATTTATTTTTATTTATTTTTATTTATTTTTATTTATTTTTATTTATTTTTATTTATTTTTATTTATTTTTATTTATTTTTATTTATTTTTATTTATTTTTATTTATTTTTATTTATTTTTATTTATTTTTATTTATTTTTATTTATTTTTATTTATTTTTATTTATTTTTATTTATTTTTATTTATTTTTATTTATTTTTATTTATTTTTATTTATTTATTTTTATTTATTTTTATTTATTTTTATTTATTTTTATTTATTTTTATTTATTTTTATTTATTTTTATTTATTTTTATTTATTTTTATTTATTTTTATTTATTTTTATTTATTTTTATTTATTTTTATTTATTTTTATTTATTTTTATTTATTTTTATTTATTTTTATTTATTTTTATTTATTTTTATTTATTTTTATTTATTTTTATTTATTTTTATTTATTTTTATTTATTTTTATTTATTTTTATCTATTTTTATTTATTTTTATTTATTTTTATTTATTTTTATTTATTTTTATTTATTTTTATTTATTTTTATTTATTTTTATTTATTTTTATTTATTTTTATTTATTTTTATTTATTTTTATTTATTTTTATTTATTTTTATTTATTTTTATTTATTTTTATTTATTTTTATTTATTTTTATTTATTTTTATTTATTTTTATTTATTTTTATTTATTTTTATTTATTTTTATTTATTTTTATTTATTTTTATTTATTTTTATTTATTTTTATTTATTTTTATTTATTTTTATTTATTTTTATTTATTTTTATTTATTTTTATTTATTTTTATTTATTTTTATTTATTTTTATTTATTTTTATTTATTTTTATTTATTGTTATTTTTTTTTATTTATTTTTATTTATTTTTATTTATTTTTATTTATTTTTATTTATTTTTATTTATTTTTATTTATTTTTATTTATTTTTATTTATTTTTATTTATTTTTATTTATTTTTATTTATTTTTATTTATTTTTATTTATTTTTATTTATTTTTATTTATTTTTATTTATTTTTATTTATTTTTATTTATTTTTATTTATTTTTATTTATTTTTATTTATTTTTATTTATTTTTATTTATTTTTATTTATTTTTATTTATTTTTATTTATTTTTATTTATTTTTATTTATTTTTATTTATTTTTATTTATTTTTATTTATTTTTATTTATTTTTATTTATTTTTATTTATTTTTATTTATTTTTATTTATTTTTATTTATTTTTATTTATTTTTATTTATTTTTATTTATTTTTATTTATTTTTATTTATTTTTATTTATTTTTATTTATTTTTATTTATTTTTATTTATTTTTATTTATTTTTATTTATTTTTATTTATTTTTATTTATTTTTATTTATTTTTATTTATTTTTATTTATTTTTATTTATTTTTATTTATTTTTATTTATTTTTATTTATTTTTATTTATTTTTATTTATTTTTATTTATTTTTATTTATTTTTATTTATTTTTATTTATTTTTATTTATTTTCATTTATTTTTATTTATTTTTATTTATTTTTATTTATTTTTATTTGTTTTTATTTATTTTTATTTATTCGATACTCCCATACAAAATTTCAACCCCGTATCCTGTTTCTCACCCTTAAGATATGATGTGTATAAAATGTACAAAATCCTAGTGGGTGTTTACGTTGAGAAAGGAGCAACTTAGCCAAGTTTCAAGACAATCGGGTTTATAGTTTTGGAGATCTCGTGATGAGTCAGTCAGTCAGTAGTATTTCGCTTATGTAGATATCAGGGTGTTTCTAAATTCATGCGACAAAATTCAGGAGGTGATTGCTCGTATTAAATTAAGATGGGTCTTTCCTATAACATAATTTCGAGATAAAGTTTTATGAAATAAAATTATAATTTGAAATTCTTGTTTTATTTAAAAAAAATTTTCATTCTTAAATTTTTTTCCCAAAACCAATAGCTGCAGAGAAAAAAAATTAACAAGGATTTTAAGTAATATTTTATTTCATAAAACTTAATCTCGAAAAAAAGTTTTGATATGAAATAAAGTAAGGGTTACTAATTTCACCCCCCTATAATTTTGCGAGTGCACGAAAATTACAGAATTTCAAGTTTCTAGCTTTACTGAAATTTTAGAAAAAAATAAAAACTCAATTTTAGTCACCACCTTTTAAGGGTGATATCTCGGAAAGAGGTGGGCTGAGGAGATTTTGTTATAGAAAAGACCCATATTAATTTCATAGGAGCAATTGTAGGGTCTCAAGTTTTGATTTGATCCCATCTGTAGATAAATATTTGGAGATGTATATTTTTTAAATAATCACCAGACTGGGAGCTTATTGTTTGAAAGATCCTATCAAATAAATGTTGAAATAAAAACTGATACGTATAAAATGTATAATAATTGTAAATTCAGTAACAAGTAAAAGTTATAACTGGCAGTGTGTATATAAATAATAATGCTATTGCTTGGCAACCGAGGTTGCCAACCAGGCGAGTTTAATCCTTCAGTATTATAGCTGCCTCGTAAAGTAAGGATATCTAAAAAAAAGGTGTTGTGGAAAGTTAAGAACGAAAAGTATGTAGTGCGTTTGCGTAACTACAGCAGTCACCTCCTGAATTTTGTCGCATGAATTTAGAAACACCCTGTAGTTAATAAAATAGATTCTCAATACTCAACCGAAGATGAAAACTAAAATAAACTACCAATTTTATTTACGGCAATAATAATTGTTCATAAACAAAAATAAAAAAAAATCAGAAATAATATCTAACACAGGATATTAGTAGTTTTTACCACAGTTACGTCTTCTTTATAGAATATCAAAATTCAATATTTGTATTTTTTGATACTTTTTTTTTCGATATTTTTAATTTGTGATATTTTGAATTTTACTCTTATTTTTTATTATTCGATTATTTTTTATTTTTAATATTTTTATTATCAAATAATCTTATTATTAATTTTCAATATTTTTATTATCAGATACTGTTATTTTTCGATGTTTTTAATTTTCGATATTTTCCAGCTTCATATAATTTCGAATAATGTCCTTTCTTATTTTTAGACTAATAATTTTTATTATTCATTTATTTTTTATTAATCGATATTTTTTTTACTATTCGATTAATTTTTAATATCGATTATTTTTTATTTTCAATATTTTTATTATTAGATACTCTTAATTTTTTAATGTTTTTTTATTTTAAACCTATTATTTTTCCTGTTTTTAATTATCGATATTTTTATTATTCTAATAATTTTCAATATATTTATCATAAGATAATCTTATTTTTCGATTCTTTTTAATTTTCAATGTTTTATATTTTCGATACTATTATTTTTCGATTATTATTTTTCGACATTTTACCATTTCGATATAATATAATTTCGATATTTTGTCGTTTTGATATTTTATCATTTCGATGTTTTGTCATTTTGATATTTTGCCATTTCGATATTTTTAATGTTTGATATTTTTTTTTACAGGTTTCTTAAAAACCGGTACCAAAGGAAGCGCTCAAGGGAATTTCGGGATAATGGACTTAGTCGCCGGACTGCACTGGCTGAGAGAAAACCTTCCAGCTTTCGGCGGAGATCCTCAAAAAGTAACGTTGATGGGACACGGGACTGGTGCCGCTCTTGTCAACTTCATAGCTGTGTCACCTGTAGCCAAAGGTAAATAACAGAACTAAATTAATATAAAAACTGTTTATTTCTCATTAAATGACCTGCGAATTTTCTGAATTTTAAAAAGTTTTTAAAAAGTCATGATTGCTTTTTATATATAATATAATAACTATATTACCAAATAGTTAAATATCAAAGCACAATAACAAAATACACCCTATATAAAGAAAGATTAACAGAGATAAAACCCAGTAATCGAAATTCGTAAAGCTGGCCATACGAGGCTATACCAGTAAATAAAAATGGATAAGATTATAGAAATATAGTCATAACTACATACAAATTGGATAGAAAATGTTAGACGATTCAAAAACTAAAGAAGCGGGAGCTGAAATCTTTGGACTACAGTCAAAAACAACAATTTCGCTGAATCTGAAAGAATACGTAAAAGTGTTTCAGGTTAAACTAAGAGCCATACAACACTATACCATTTACATTCCCATTTACTCTGGTAGCCAAGCAGCTCAATGGCAATTCTTTCACTAGAAATCAAAGAGTGCTTAGTAGGCTTAACAGAAATAAATAGACAAACAAAATTACCTTAGCATGGGTGCCAGACCACGTAAGGGTATCAGGGCAATGAAAAAGCCGATAAACTAGACCAAGAAGGCTCAGATAAGATTACGACAGGTCCCGAACTTCGAACCTTTATGTGCAAGTCATTCATCAAGCAAAGGATACAAGATAAGTCTCAAGAATGCTAAAACAACTATCCAGGATTGATGCAGGCCAAATAATTAATTAAGGAACCATTGCCTAAGATCACGAAATACCTACTGGATCAAAAACGACAAATATTAAGGATAATAGTAGGTATTTTTATCGGACACTGTCGCCTAAAAAGGCACATGGATGTCATAAATCCAGCAGAAGCAAAATTGTGCACGTTCTGTACCAGTATGATAGCCTGGCTAGATTGAGGTTTCTAACACTAGGTGAAGAAAAGTCAAACCAAAGCTGCTGTCAAGGCTCCTTTTTTTTGGGACGGGGAAACCGCTTGGCACCCGCTGCTGAGTCTATGCAGCAGGTAGTGTCAGGCGCAACTCTGACTAAAACCCCCCTGTTCTTCTACTAAGCTACATATAACTGGATACCGTCGTGTAGACATTCTTTCAGTTATAGAGCTGTCTTTATTATATCTCTTGTGGCCTCCTCCTTTCTTTATTTTCCTTTGTAATCAATATATTTTTCATGAAACCGTGTATTATTTTCCATCTTTTTTCGCAGCTTAACATGTTTTCCATTATAGACTTCTCCACCAGCGGGCCCCCTAGTTCGGCTTCCAGTTGTTGCCTATTTGCAACCCATCTATTGCATATAAAAATCGTGTGGGCGGGGTATCTGTTTCTCCTCAGTATTCACAGGACTCGTATAGTGACTTGCCGATTCTAAAGGTGAAGGTTTTAAAGCCCTGTCATGGCTTGTATTAAAAAGTAGTCTACCCTTCTGTGTTTGCACTTCAACCACGGGTTGATCCTTGGTATGAGCTTCTTAATCCTCGCTGCCACTTCCCTACCGTTTTCCCATCGTACCTGCCATTTTTCCAATGTCTTCTCCATGATGTCCATTCTTCTATTTTGATCCGCTATATTCAGAAACAAGCTTTGTCGTTCCTCAGCCAGAAGGTCTATGGAAAGCATCCTAGCCAGTACCTGGAGGGCTTCGGATGACACAAGTTCTGTATCCACTCACAATCCTCAGGTTTGCTTTTCTCTGGATACTGATGAGTTTTATTTGTATTTTTCGACTCTCATAGCCTTGCCCCATATTGGCGCTATATAAAGTAAGATGGATTATACCACCCCGCCCAAGACCCGCCTTTTTGCGTTGCCTACAGTTTTTTCTGATTTTTCTACGGTCTTGTTTATGTTTGTATTAAAAATATGTTTGTCGTCTATCCACACACCCAGATATTTCACGCTTCGGCTTGGTTTAACCATATTATTTCCTACTTGTATAGCTATTCCGTGTCGATTTCTTTTCCCTTTAAAAATAACAGCTTCGCTCTTCTTTAGCGCAAGCTGCAGCTTGTGTCTCCTCATCCGAATTTCAATTTGCATTACTGCATGCTCCACCATCTCTTAGAGTGTTTCCTTTTCATCAGCCTCGACCAGTATTGAGAGATCATCTGCAAACGCCAACGTTGTGCATGATTCGCCAAGGCCTAGTCCCAGTACAGGGTCGTACAAAATGTTCTACAAGGTTAGTCCTAAGACCGAGCCTTGTGGTACACCGCCGCTAACTTGCGTCTATGCCTTCTTTCCGATATATATTTCCCTGCTAGTTTTCAATAATTTTAATTAAGTATCCGTTCACTCCTAACTGCCTAATTCTGTTTATCCTCCACTATGCGGAGTTAAAGGCGTTTTTGACATTTCGCACCATTTTTTTCTGCTATATTTAACCCAGTCAATCCCCCACTTAATAACATGTATGGCGGATGTCCCCTTCCTGAACCCGAATTGCCTCTCGGAGAATGCGTTATTGTCTGCTAGCTCCTTAAGCAGTCGCTCTCTAACCATTGACTTTTTTATTTGGCTTACTGATTAGAAGTATATCTACCTTTTTCCTTCTGGCTGTAGTAAGGGCTAGGTCATGTACAGCCCGGGCCATGCCCAGGTTGGCTTGTAGAAAACGAAGAGCCATAAATAAAGTAAAAATAAAATTGGATAATATAAATTAAATAAAGCTACTAAATAAGGCTACTAAGTTTAATAAAAAAGACCAAGCTAGAAACATATAACGAGGACCCACTAAAGATCTGAAAAGATCGCGGCAGACAAGCATACATATTGTCTGTCTCCTTTTAAATCCTATTTAATCTAAGAAAGGTCAAACCATTCTCCTAAGTTCTTCTGAAAAATAAGTTTTCTGCGGCTATATTACAAAAGCTATTTGCTGTTTGATTATACCGTATAGGTCCAGTTTATTTTTCTTTTATAACAATATAATTTATTTTGACACAGAACGAAATTATGCAAGAGTTTCAAAAATGCAGGCAGCAATGCAGCACATCATTTAAAAAAAAAAGCATAAAAAGTTTTCCCAACAATAAACTTGCAATATGTTTTCGGCTGTTGTCAAAGAATTTAATACAAGCATTTTTATCTCTCTGTTGCATAAACCGGGGCTCTTTTGTCAAATGGAAATTCGCGGAATTTTATCAGATATAGTTATATCGTATCGAAGAAAAGTTTTCCGCTAGCAAGCAAGTAATATTCTTTGTTTACGAGCTTTAACAAATTAAGTTTTTATTGGGGCAAGTCGTTTTTGCTTTTTCAGGTTTACCCAGAAACAATAAAGAAAAATAAAGCAATTTATATGAAATTTCATATCTGGCTGGAAAGATGATATAATATAAAAGTTTTTCAATGGCTATAAAATATTTTTCTTTACTTTTATTGATTGTTATTTGTTTGGGGCAATCTTATCAATATTAACTCAACGTTTTATTTCAATAACACTATAAGTTAGTTTAAAATGCTCTAAAATGCAATAGAGGACCCAAAAAAAAGTTCAGCCACTGAAGAGACAGTTGTTTTTACATTTTGTATTCTTCTAAAATACTAAACTTTTCATTCCTGTATCATAATTTAATATTAAAATTAACTTGAAATAAAAAAGTTTTAATTTATTTGGTCAAATTAACTTTTCGAGAAGCAATTTGCTAGGATACTTCGATATGTGTAATAGTGAATTGAGGATGATTTGTAATAAATTACCAATGAATTTACAAGAAGATCCTGCGTTTTTAGTATGTTAATCTAAGGATTTTTATAAAAATAAATCTATTGACGTAAATAATGGTCAAACGGTATTTTGGAAACGTAAATCCAATTGGTGTAAACGATCATCGAAACATATAATTTGTTGTTTTTGTAAAATTCGAAAAATGAAAATTACAACTAAAAATCGAGTTTATAATTTTTGTATTTGAAAAGATTTGGAAGTCAGTGTGACATACTTCTTAGCCATGTCAACGACATTTCATTTGACGTCTGCAGCGTCAAGCATTCTTAGCAATGACTTTTTTCTACCCATCGAATTGGATGTTAATAAACAGTATGGTCCCAGATTAATTGCATTTCATGCCTACCTCCCTACTAAAAATATGAGAGAAAAATAATATTATCTGTTTAGAGGTAGTGGATCGAGAAAAGTTTTGGGGAGAGATGATGGAATGAGAGAAGATTTGGGCCGAGAGAGATCGTAATACATATGGTGCTCGCCGGTTATGAGATTGACGAAATAAATAAGTTCATCTAAAAAACTTTATGGAACTTTGTATATCCAGATCCCAAAACTGTAAACCAAGAAAAAATTGTTGATCTGTTTAAATTACAAGAACACTATGAGTTGTAAAATTAAATCCAAATTCAGTGTCAACTTTGATTGTGACAACAGTTTAGCTAGCCTCTTAGGATTCGCTAATATGAAGTACCCGCTAACTGGAACTTTTGTATCTACAAAATCGATCGATATTATGAACTTCGGTCTTGTTCGATTGGATTGTAATATTATTTCTGGTTCCCATATAAATGGAAAAAAAGCCCACATTATTTTTTTCATTTGACATAGATGTCGAGCCAAGATAAAAACTGACGAAGGAACCTCATAACAATATTTATCTACTCATACCTACCGGTCGACAATACTTAGACAACATTACTATCCTGTAGACCAGTGATTCTCAAACTTTTTTGGTGACGGAACCTTCTTGAAAAGTAAACTATTTGACAGAGCCCTAAACACATTTCGGAAAAAAAGTCCTCCTTGCTCTAGCCTCTTGCTAGTAGGTCCCTCTCGTTTCTTTGCGGATTGCGAAGCCCCTACAACAAAATTCTTAAAATCATATACGCCTTTTTCCTCTGCTTGACTTGTAAAAACAAAAAATACCAAAATCATATATATTTCTTTATCTCTTCCTTACCTCTAAAAAAAACCAAAGAAACAAATAAAAACCAAAGAAACAAATAAAAACCAAAGAA